GGGGTGGACAGCACAAGGACAGGTTGGAATCGATCCGTCATAAAACTGGGACCCCCGTCGTTTTTACCAGCGTGGGAAAGGGCCCAGCTGTGGGCTAGGTGAGGTGTGAAAGCTGCCATCTTGCTGGCTACACGACCCCCCTCAGTTGTTTGACAATGCGTGTTCACTATCTTGACTTGCAGGGAACACACAACTAAAATATTATAGACTAGAAAATTCATTACTTACCCAGATTTGAATGTAGTCGAAATTATCCAAGACGGCCATCCGTTGTCAAGGATAAAAATGTTTTTCTTCAGACAGGTCAACGTATGTCTTAGACAGTGTAATTGCAATGTTGTTTTAACAAAAACACAAGGGGGATGTGCGAAGCGGTTGTTTGTACGTGTGATTGTCTTGGACAGGAGGCCGCTAGGGCAAGTTTGACAGTTATATGACAGCTTTACAAAATATATTCTAATTTGTCGATTAAGTTTCATAAAATCTTGATTGCGGTCTCTTTCTGTATAGAATCTTTTCAGCTCGTTAAGAACGTAGTGGACACATCATTATGTTCGACAGCAGACCAGAGGCAAAGTTGTGCCATTTTTAAAAACTTTCTAACATAAATCAGAAATACGAATTTGCATTTTTCATAGCCTGGGTGCTGTAGCTTGCTTTTTACAGTTTTTCTTTGTTTGATTATTTAAGTAAAGAGAAGCACATCGACGTGAGTGCGAGCTGAGAAAAAGTAAGACAGACAGACAGACAGAAACAATAGAGGTAAAGTAATGAAGTTGGGCATACTAGTGGTGCCCTCCAACCACCTGCCTTTTTAAAGTTTAATGCTAAAAAAATCTTTGCTTCACACTTGTACCAATATCGTATTTCTGCTTCTTTTTGAATTACCCTAAAACACGTTTATTACCCAAAAAACAACAACAAAAACAAAACAAAACAAAACAATGATAGTTCTAACGTTTCAATTACTCAAGATTGTTTTTTGTGTTTATTAGAGTTTTACGGCACTTGCAACACAGTAAGCTCATACAAATACCGAAGATTAGAGGTGTTACAAGAGAGAAAAAATTATGTTAAAAAAGGAGGAGAGATAAGAAAGATAGATGTATGCTAGGAAAGAAGGAGCAAATCACACCAGATCACCTGCCAACCTTCCACTTTCATGATTGTTTTACCTGCATCTCTGACTGGATTGTGTGTGCTGGGTGTGGTCGAGGCACGAAGAGGGGTGGGGAAGGGGGAAGAGGAGGGGGGAGTCTGTTGCATGACCTTATGATATGTAACAACCAGCCTTAGTGTTCTAAGCTCCTTGCCGTATGCCCATGTTTATCTTACATACAGCAGAATGGATTTATCAGCGAATTTTCAAAGAGCGGATGGGGGGGGGGGGGGTCGCAAAAATAAAAATGTAGGCACATCACAATGAAAGGGAGACATGAACCTACTTATTGTTAGCCCTGCATCGTTTCTTTTGTATAGTATTTTCATTGGGCTTTTATACAGCTCTTTATTTAACCTGCTGAGTGGCCTCACTCCACGACGCGTCCAGATAAGCAAAAACCCAACAACCGTGAAATAAGCGACCACTTTTTCAACACGGCCAAACTGTAATGTTTCAAACTTTATTACAAGGTCTTTATGTTAATTTTAAAAACAGATTATTACCATTACCATTATTCAGTATGTCCCCAACTTAGCAGTTAAATGACTTGTCAACATGAAGAACACTTTTTATTGTTTGTTGGTCTGTTGGTTTTGTTGGGCTTTTTATTATTACTATTTATTTTTCGTTGGTTTTGGGGGGGTGGGGGGTTGTTTGTTTGTTTTTGTTTTAATGCTCTAGCCTACCTTACCTTACATAATGCTGACATAGCAAACTCGTTACTCATCACGCTAGAGATCGAAGGGCATAACTGCGCAGATAAAACACACCTGCTGAGAACGTAAACCTGGGCCTGGCAGACTAGTGGAGTCGTTTGAGGGAAAGCGCATAGCGTTATTATTATCATGATTACTGTCATTACTATTATAATAATGA